GCTTTGCAGTCAGACATAAGATTAAATTTCTCATATAATTGCATTCCAGACTATGTTTCTTTCAGGTATTTATCCCCTAATTAGGCCTAGGAAGATGACTAAACATGTTTTTATTTCTATTACCAGTGACTACGTATTGTTAACCACAGATATTGTCAGATCCATCCAACAAAATATGTGTAGCTTACTGAAATTCTGACCTACACTTTTTTTATTTTGTAAATTATGTGGCGCAACTTCGTGTTTTGGAAAACTTCCATGTTTATTCACTTTATAAAAGATAAATTTAGGTGCAATGCACAAATTCTCATTGATGGGCAATTGGTCTTAAAGCTATTTTTCTATGCTACAAATCAGCACAGGAAAAAACAGTCTGCATGTGTCTCTTAGAAATTGTTAAAACATATAAAAGCCATGAGAAAATACTGTGATTTAAATATATTTTAAACTTAACTTTTTCACTATTTCTTTTCCAATGTGTTTCCTTGGGGAAATGCAATGTTTCTTTGCGGAGACGTGTGCAATAATGTAGCTCTAACACTAACTGGGATTTAACTCTTTGAAACAAAAAAATTCTCTTTGGCATTCCAATTTCATAATTGTGGCTGTCAAATCTAACTGCTGAGCTGCTGTCTCAGACAGGAACAGCACAGAGATGAGGAAATAAAGCAATTTTCCAATCAAAAATTCAAGTTCTATTTCATTTAACACCATCTCCTTATGTACTTAGTACTACCAGTTGACATCATAAGCAGCAGGGATTCAGACATATTTGTATCTTGTGTAAAAATTCTGGACATTCTGGACAAACAGATCAAAACACTGAAAAATCAAGTCATATGCAAACAGACTTTAAAAATTCTAAATAAAAATTATTCAGCCATTAGGATAGGGTTCTGAAGCATCTCATAATGCTTAGAATGGAACAAAATACTTATGGAATATATAATACATTGGATTTCTCATTAAATAATTGAAGTTAGAATATACTTCTCTGTATTAACTTGGAATGTTAGTTGCAAATTCTATAATTACCCAGATTTCTTTATTTTTGTATGTTCACAAGAAATAGTCACATTATTCCTATGTATTCCATGCATAACCACACACAACAGCAGCCAGTCACAGCTGAGGACACTGCACATCTCTGTAGAACTGAGTTCAAGACATTGCGAAATACCTGGCCAGCAAAGACAGAGAACACAATGCTGCTGTGTTTATAACTGCACTGAATCTTACATTGTGTGCTCAGAAGTGCCCATTAACCTTGATAGTGCCACGCCAACACAGATACATTGCTTGCACAGACCTTGACAGGATGCTGAAGTCCAACTGCAGCCTCTCTCTGCAGCTCTGTGCTATGCCATGCAAACATAGTCAAGAAGGAAACCTCACAAATCAATGACATTCTTAATTTTGGACAGTTTATTTTCATTCCAGTGCATGGCCAAACTTCATCTCCTTTGGCAGAGGTTAATCCTCTATATCACTCTACTTTCTACTAAAATCAAATGATATGACATGATATCTTGAATATTTCTCTTGATGGCATGTTGAGGAGCTTTGCCAATCATCACCTTTCTCTAATAACTTCCTTAAATTTCAAAATTATGCCTATTTGACTGATGTAGAGTAAATAGGACTCTCTTCATGTGTAAGATAATCCCCCAAGTATTATAGCTCTTCTCAAACACTTAATTATCACTTTAAAACCCTCTTAAAGAGTCAGGTGAATTCTGAAGTGTTCTGTTTGCAGAAAATTATTCATTTTGACTATTTTCTGAATTATTTAAACAGTCCTTAACCTACACAACTGCAGTATCTCACTTTTAAAAATGTAATTTATCTCATAAATCTTTTCATCACAATTTCAAAAAACACCTATGCAGTGCCTTTCAGTGCACATTTACCAGTCTGTTTAGTTTCCTTCAAAAGTTTTTTAACTATTGCCCAGCTACAACACGTGTGCCCAAGGAGGCGTCAATTTTTTCTGTTCCCCCTGATTTCTATGAGAATGTGCAGCAGAGTAGAGGATAGTTTGTGTTAATTTCCCAACTTATGAAAAATAATAAATTTGAACTCACATTCATTATCACTATTGATCATCCTACAAGTACAGCCCCTCATGCCTATTTGTTGGTACTGTTTGAGTGTGAACATACATCCACAGAGCTGCTCACCTTCATGACACAACTTCACAAGAGCCAGGTCTTATTGCCACTGCTCATCCAACTACTTATTCTTTTCTTAGAAAACTGTGTCATACAAATGCTGGTTTATGTTGAATATTTTTTACTAGAACTAATATACTATGATAGTCATAATATTGTAAGCAGAAGTATGAACGTAGAACTGTTTCATACTATTTATTGCTAGGTATTTTGTGAGTAAACATAAAGATAAATAGACTCATTTTCCAAACTGAATGCATCTGATGAAAGATCTATGGTGAAATGCCAATACAGACAAACTGCAGGCTGACAAGCAACATATTCACTTCATTTTCTTTCTTTGTGGCTTCTAGGCATTATATGAATACAACATCACCAGTTAAGAGAGCAAAATATCTGTGACAACATAAAGCAGTAAAACATTTCAGCGTCTGCTCTTTTTCTGTATGGCTGCTAAGGGTGACGTGTTAGGCTCTATCTCTCCCTTGCCCAGCAAAGTGAGCCAACAGGGTGACTTCAGCGTAGGACAAAGGAAACTTACTTTGGATGCCATCTCCTCTGACATCTGAAAAACAGGTCACAAAGTCCCAAATGAACAATCACATTGGTTTACTGTTTGATTTGGAATCTGTCAATCTTCTTACCAGCAACTGTTAAGTATATGGGACAAAAAAAAGAAATTCTGATTTAGCAGTAACAGCTGGAGACAGTACAGGCACTGTCAGCCCCAGCCCCACCTAGGTATTCCCTCTTGGATTCCCAGTCACTATTCCTGCACCCAGAGAGCTCCTGTCTCTTGGCAGGTACTGACACACTACAGAGAATTTTGTGCGATTTTCATTCTCCAGATCTGAAAGTTGAAAGAAAAATCTGAACTCTGAAGAGCTTCCACTGATCTGATGAAAGCTGTTGTCACATTAAGCTGACCTGGGCTTTAGAGTCTCACAGAAAGAGTATAAAAGTGTAGCAAACAGAGTCCCTTTGAAAGGGATGCTGCCAATAGGAAAAGCATGTCAGACAGAGGATGCACTGTCAATGGGTTGTTTCAGCTGGTTGAGGCTGTCCCAAGTAACAGAGTAAACATTTCAGCACAGCAGTAAGTCAGGGAGTAAGACTGTTGTACTGATTCTAATGGCCTACAGACAAAATGCTGTTCTAGCTGATTTACCATACTTAGAGAAAAAAGCTTACATTTCTGAATGTCTTTAAGGTTTTCCAAACAGTTTTTGATCTCAAGAGAATCATGAAGAAAGGAAAGTTGCTTCCCTAGTCTGACAAGAGATTGGAGTGCAAAAAATATTTTAAGTTGAAGAGTGAGCTCCATAATTTACAGGGAAAAAAAATCAATTTTAACTATATTTAGTTTCTGTTTACAAGAAGAAATATTTGCTTTGCTTTACTAAATTATATTTGTGCAAGCCAAACATCATTACATGGCTTTGAATAACTCAGAAAACTATTTCCATAGCACTGAATGAATTAAGGAAATAATATCATCAGGACATTAAATACTTTTTTCCCCTCTATTGATATAACTTTTTTATTCTGTTCTTGCTGAACTTTTTGGTCATTCTTTATTCAGGTCATGTCAAATAAGAGAACAGAATAGACTGGTGAGTAGAAGCACTCTAACAAGCAAGATAAGATGCTCCATCACTTTGTGATTAAATATTCAAACATACTGCCCACTGGTATCAACTTAGTCATGACTGATTTAAACGATACACTAAAAAATGTGCTTTAATCTTCCATATAATAAGTTTTAAAAAATTAAAACTGAAATCACAGTTTAAAGAAAAAGCTACCAGACATTTCAGTCATCTTTCACTTGGCTGCATGTTTGCTGTTAAAGTGGCTGGTTTCATTAAAGAACTGAATACAGCCACAAGTGCAATGCAGATTATGATCTAGAGTCAATAATTTCTGAGCTATTAAATGTCTTGCTGGATACTGACATCAGTACATTAACCAAACTAATGTTCTTCCCAATTATTTTTTGCCTGTGACAAATCTTAGAATGGTTTGGGTTGCAAAGGATCTTAAAAGTCATGTAGTTCCAACTGCCTGCCATGAACAGGGACACCTTCCACTAGACCAGGTTGCTCAAGGCCTCATCCACCCTGGCCCCAGGGACAGGGCATCCACAGCTTGTCTGGGCAACCTGTTCCAGTGCTTCACCACTCTCACAGTGAAGATATTTTTTCTATATCTAATCTAAACATGCCTTCTTTCAGTTTAAATCCATCACCCCTTGTTCTGACACTACGTCCCCTTCTAAAAAGTTCCTCTCCAGCTTTCTTATAGGCCCCCTTTAGGTAGTAGGAGGTTGTCAACACCTTGCCAACAAAATGGAAAAGAATACATATCCTTAATCTGTTCTCTACCACTTCAAGCATTTTTCTTTAAAGTTCAAGTGAGAATATTTAGAATTAATAATAATGATTCCAAATACTATACCTGACTTAGAATACTATCTGCCACTTTATTTCTGCAATATATACTTAGAGTCAGAATTACTTCTTTACCACAGGTTTAATCAATGACAATAGAAAAATATGAGCTTAATGAATTACAGCACATAGACAAAATAACTACATATGGAACTGATTTTTCAAACAGCCCTTTTTCTCTATGAAATATTTCCATTTTAATGAGAATTTTTTGTTCCTGTTAAATAATCCATTCTTTTTCTCCCCAACTATAGTCAAAGCAGAGAGAAGTTAACTGTGAAATTCACTATGATCTTGGGAGAAAATTGATAGACCTTGCTTGACAATTTATCAATGAGTATGTTAATTTCTCCCACCCCATTTCTTTTTTGTTATTTAGGTGGATGATCTGAACAATTTTTTAAAGCATTCATTTATGCTGGGGACAACACAGCCAAATGATTAGAATTTACCTACCTGCATTATACCATCGGTATGTATGGATTCTTCCTTTCTTGATGAAAATTAGGATTCATCTTCAAGAATCAGTCAAATGAAAAAAAAAATCATTAACATTTATTCAAGCATGGGACTGTCAGACAGAAATTTGCTAGTTACGAGTTAATCCCATGACTTTCATGTGCTCATTGATTTATTAAAATTTCATAATAAGGACAAAAAATCTTCTTAGTATAAGACCCACAAAGGTCAATACTATCTTTCTTAGAAAGTAAGTCACAATCATTTATTTTGTATTTAGTAGTATATGATTTTCCAAATATAAAAGAGGAACTACATCACAACTATTAATAGCCATTTCACAAATCAATAAAACCAAGGGCATTAAAATTAAGGGAATCCTACAGGTTTACAGAGCTTTTCACTGCTGCCTTTGCCAGCTAGTCTCAGGTAACATTGACAGAAAGCTGCTTACCCAGAGCAATCATGCCTATAAACATGAATTCAACTGGCAGTCTCTTTAAATTGTCTTTCAAGTACTTAGAAATATTGCCATGTAGTTGGTATCCATGCTAGAAATGGATGCAAGCAGAGAAATCAATGGCTGAATAGGTGCAGTTTAATCTGGTTCCTGAAGATGATAGCCACATATCCAAGTTAAAACAAGCTGAATAAAAAGGTTGGTCTTCTGATTTCTTCAAGCAGCCATGCACACATTAACATTTTTCAGGTTTAAATTATAAAACCTGTTTCTATAATCTTCTCTAATCAGAAGGTTTTTGCATCCTTCCAATTATAAGAGTTTTTTTAAAAAAAAGATTCTATCTCAGATCATTATAGTCACAGTAATATTACTATCTAAAAGAGATTGAAACATTGTCAAAAAGTATATGAAGTTATTTGCCTTGGCAATATCAAATCTGTTAGGTGAAAGGAATTCCATTTTCCAGATCTTAGACACTGAATTTACTTAAAGCATGACTAGTAAAATGCAGCTCTAAACCTCATATAACTTTGTGGATTTCACTTATATTTTCTTTCTGGAGGATAATGACAGGTACACATTTTGTGAAAGGCATAAAGATAACAACACAAATTCTCCAAGTGTGCCTTTCTAAAAAAAATCCATTGCAGATTTGACACAAGGGGTTTACTTTCTTATTTTATCTGAATGTCTGTTTTCTTTGTGTATTAAATGCTCAACTATACTTAAAACAGCGTTTTCAATTATGTGATTATGCATTTGTGTAGCCCCATTGAACTTCATAGGATTACTCAAGCAGAGAAAAACTTGCAGAATTACCACTCCGCTTTGTCGATAAGAGTTTTTTCAGTTTAAAAAACAGACTTTGTTTCACAGTTAGTTCATTCATTGAGGAATATGTAGTTGCAAGTATTTAAGTTTTTTTTTAATTACAGTACATTATACAATAGAAAAGAAAATATTTCCCTAGAAAAGTGTTTATCTCTATTCTTTAGTTTTACAAGGAGAGAAATGTCGCTGTCTCTACTACAAGAATGACCCTTGTGAATTGGTTTCCATGAAAGTAATCATTGAACATTACTCTGAATCATAAATTGAAGTAAATCAAGTAAAGCCCCAAAGTTTCTCCGAACATAACACAGAAACACATAATAATTTTGAAATTTTTGAAGATACAAAAACAATTTCACTTTCAGGAAAATAATTTTCTTTCTAATGAAAAAACATACATTTTCATTGAGAAAAAAAAAAGGCATCTTTTGTGATCAGTTTAATTTTTCTTTTTTAATTTGTGCCATTATTTAAAAAAAGTTTCCCACAGAAGTCAGTCAAAAAATGACCTGACAAGTTACTATATAGTTAATAGTATTTTCTAATTTATAGATGGAACACAAATACACACAACAAAGAAAAAGTGGCTATACCATAACAATTAAAATAATCTAAAACAAAAGGCAAATGCTAGAATACATTCATTCCCTCAAACTAATCTTGGAAGCTAGGTAAATCATTAGCTACATAATTTTGTCCCAGTCATGTTCCAAGCTGAAGTCATTTTGTTCATGCAACTAGGGTAATTTGATCTTGATAGAGAAGCATGAGAATTTCTTTGAACTAAGTTCTGTCCCAAAATATAAGTAAGAGTGTTTTTGTGTCCCCCTGCTTTCTTTTTGATCTGCTACTTGCAGGTTTATATATCTATGTTCCAGCATGAACTCCAACAAAATTGACCATCCTGGTATTGATAAATCTGCTCCAAATAGCTCATTAAGCTTGAAATCACACTTGGAAGCATATATTAAAAGTGGGAACTACTTGCCTTTAATTTGAAATATTGGACTAAAACTCAGAAGATTTGTGTTCATTCCTGGCTCTGACAGACATTTTTTGAGTAATTTAATCTTTCTGAGACTGAGGTCCCCAAGTGTAATACATCAATTTATAATTATTATCTGGAAGGTAAAGTTCTTTAACTCCAGGTTTGCTCCTTACTTTCTGTATGTACAAAAATTTTAGACAAAATTCTTGTCTGGTCTTTCCAGATACTACCATAAGAAAAAAAGTATTTTTGTTCTCAAAAACAACATATAAAAATCTTGTTTTATTTACCTTTCACAGGACCTGACACCATAGGCACTGGATAAAATGTTTTCTTCTCTGAAGTTAATGGTTAAGTTGCTCTTGCCTTCAACAGAATGCATAATTTCACAGATCATGTTTGCAAAAGATCAATTAACTGGATTTTTCATGTTTTCCTCTTCTTGTCTTAATCAGCCTGCAGTAGCTGTAGCACTGCTATTTCTGCATCAAGAGAGTTTGGACTTGCTCCTGCTTGCACTGAGCCAAGTCTCTGAAGTGGCCCAGTGGGAACAAAACAAATCCATTGTCAAATTCAAGCTAGGAAACTAATGATGAATCATTATTAAGAGCTACATACAGACATAGCAGCAGGAAAAAAACAACTCCATTTTCAGACTAATTTAAAGAACAGTCGCTATCAAGGCTACCCTAATGATTGACAATTCACTTTATCAGTTAAAATTAAAGTCAAAATCATTATACCTGACCATGATCATTAAGTGACAGTGATTGTCAGACTAAGACAATGCCATCTTATCTGGATATGCCTCTAAAGTGATTAGGGCCTCATTGGACTCTATAATCCAGATTTTAGGTCCCTGTACTGGCACTCAGCCAAACATTTTATTTTCAGGAAACCAGCCTGGCAATCACTTGGCAAGCACTCAGTTTACAATTTTCAGGTGTCAAGCCATTCATATGAAGTACACAGAGAACACTTCAACTATACAACAGCCTTTACTTAACATTTCTGAAGACCAGTATGCTCTAAACACCTTTGTAGAGGCTTTTAATGGGAAAACTGCACAGAACACCATTGTCAATTGTCATAGGATGCAAGATGTGGCTTGGGGCGTGTATTCTATTGCCATCTGTTGGAGGTGGAGCAGTTATCTTCTGTTAATTGACCACCTGTTAAAGTGGGGCAGTTTTCTTTATCTCTACCACAGCCAATTCTCCTTCCAGGAGATCTCTTCTGTTAATGGGCCATTGAGGGTCACTGCACGACTGATAAAATTACATCATCCCACTGGGAGATGCTCTACCCAGGGGGAGGAGCCAAGTATTCCTACCTGGATATAGTTAGAGATGGAAAACCAGACAGCCTTTCCCACTGGATTCCCAGAGGAGCAGCTTTCTTCTCCACTGGATTCCCAGAGGAAAACCAGGCCCACCATCGGATCTACAGAGGAAACCTACACCCTTCTACAGGCTCACTGCTTCAACAGAACCACACCTGTCACTGCAGGAGGACTGCAGCCCCATTTAATGGCACTGCTATGAACACACTGACCAACAGTGCCAGGTCGTATTCTGACTCTGTCAGTGTTGATTAGTATTACTGCATTTTCTTATTTTATTTTTTCCTAATAAAGAACTTTTGTTCCTACTTCCATATTTTGCCTAAGAGCCCCTTAATTTCAAAATTACAATAATTCAGAGAGAGGGTTTACATTTTTCATTTCAAGGGGGGCTCTGCCTTCCTTAGCAGACACCTGTCTTTTCAAATCAAGACATCAATGCACAGGCTATCAGCATCTCATCACAACATTTCAAAGAAAATGTTTTCCATAAAAGATGGAGTCAATGTTTACTTCACAATTGTGTCTTGAATTCTAGTGTTTCATGGCAGGTGTTAACTTCATGTTATCCCTATGACTGACTTTCAAATTAGAAGCTGTAACTCTTTCACTCATATGTAATTAAACAAGTGGTTTATGGGACTTGTTAGTGAGTGCTGCTCTCAACACCATCCACTATACAGAAGACTAATTATTTTTAACACAGCATGAATGTTAATGGTATCTCTATGAGTCTTACATGTGTTGGTGAAAGGTTAAAGGTTGATCTCACTGCATGGAGGAATCAAATCAATTTCAGAAAAGTGCCAGTGTCTGACATTAAAATAAAACACAACATTGAGAGAACTTGGACCATCCCCAAATTCTCCCTACCCACACCAGTACACTGTGGTGGAATATATCAGAATACATTTGCTGAAGAGCATGAAACTTCAAGCCTACAGGAAAAGCACCAGTGCAGATTATTTTTCAGAGTTTCCAACTGATTGGAATCCCCATTAGCAAAGGTCAGGCTTAATTTGCCACAGCTGCATTCAGAAAGCCTGTGGTCCATCATAGTTCAGGGAAGACAAAAACAAAGCCCCGCTTAACTCACTCAGTAGGAAATCATTCCATTAGATGCATACAAAATATGTACTCAAGGACATGAGGTTTTATTTCATAGCTACTAAATGTAAAGAGAATGTAATAAATGTTGTACCTAGGTCATTAAAAGAAGAAGATATTTCAAAAATAAAACACATTTTTGAGCTTATATGACAGAGGAAAGTTTAGCAAAACCTAACAATAGGTATTATTACAGCAGCTGATATGACTACTGTCATATCAGGATTCTGAATTTTTTAATATACATTTCAAGTATTTCAGAGTTTATTTTTTAATCCCTGCTACATAATTAGCTTTAAAAATTGCTCAAGTTAACATTTCGTCTGTAAGTCACAACTGGAAGTTTAAAATAATGCTGCCTATTCTATACACAATTGAAAAGCTTTGCCAATATTCTTTGTTGAAGCAGCAGCTGCTTGCTAATGCCTTTAGAACTGATTTGGGTCTCTCTGTCGTGCTAATGGAATCAGGCACAGGCTTTAATAGTGTGTGTTCAGTGTATACAGTTCTTGGGTGATCCTACTATAGCAGTTAAATTCCTAGCAGCTGAGTGTGCAATTACAGCATCATCATATCTTCATGGATTTTTTTTTTTCCCCAAGCACCTTGCCCTGGCATCCCTATTGCCAGGAAGTTCCACAGGCTATAACTCTCACTGCTGGAAAATCTCTGATACACGTGGGCATGAGAAGCCCAGGGTGTGGGCACAAGAAACGCCCCGACCTCTGTTACAGCAGCAGAATGAAGAGAAGGTTCTGAGTGCTGCTGTGAGGAATAACACACTGCACTTACAGGGACTTCCAGCATAAAGCAGTGCTTATTTTTGATATGTATTGCCACTAATTAATTGACTTTGGTCCACTTATTTCTTGCAAGTGGGTAACAACAAGGTAGACAACATGACACCGAAAAGGAACTGAGGTTTTAAATGTGTAGTAACTTGCAAAGCATAAGTATGTCTATCAAGGATTTGACAGAAATTGTTTCAAATTCTATAAAGTTAATGTGTTATATTCACAGACAGTCCTTTAAAAAACGTACCCATCTAAAAATAACATTTCGAAAGAATAAAATCTATTGTCCAAAGAAAGTTTAGACAAGAAAAATTCTTGTCACTCCAGACTGGCAGAATGAGAGCAAGGTGAAAACTGGGACAGGGGAATAAATCACATAGTCATTATTTTAAATAAATGCTGATCTGGTTAAAGAAGCTATTGAAGGTAAATTAGGAGTGGGAATGGATGTCTCCTGTCTTTGTGGTCATCCCATTAGCACCTGCAGAATTTTCATTCAGAAAATGTTCCTGAACAGATTCCTAATGTCATGGGAATAACAACAAAGAATAAATTGTATTGTGTCAGAGGAACATTCCTTCAAAACATAGTAGTTTGCTGTCCACCATATTTAAAGCACCATGCTCCATGGAAAATACTTCTCCTGAAAGAGCACAACATTTTTCAAATATATATTTTCAGCTGAACCAACTGCAAAGCAATCACAGTATGGCAGCTGAAGTATAAAAGTACCAGCAGTTTTCTGGAAAAGTGATGACTCCACATGACAGCCCCCCAGACTACACTACAAAATTGATGACCTTGTACAAGAGTTTAATGAAAACTCTTTTTCTTATAATCTAAAATTTGAGATTTAACACATTTTACCTAGATACAGTCTAATACAGTAGATACAAATAGGACACATTCCTCAGAAATTAAATAAGACTTGTGGACAAAATTATGAAAAGTGCTGGGATGGATTATGAAGGGAAAATATCACATATAAGCAGTCAGCTACCTCAGGTAAATCCACGGAAGTTAGATGTCCAGTCTGCCCTAGTGATCTTGAAAATCCTGTTAGATACCTCTAAGTATCTAAATATCTTTGAAAACATCCCTCTGTGCCTACATTATTAGGAATCACTGAACTTGAAAGAGCAAAGGGACTCAGCCTCATCTGGAAAATACAGCTGTACATTTCAAGCAGAATTCATACAATTCAATAGTACAGCTGTCCAATGAAAGATCCCTCCACTTTCAAGTAGAAGACAGACCCTCATCATAAAATCTCCCATAAAGGATAAAGCACTCTCTGGAAATACCTTTCTCAGACTTGGTATAAATTGGCCTCTGGAAGACAACTAGAAGGAGTTTAAATGGCCAGACACATAATTCATACCTGCAGTCTAGAAACAGAACAAAGAATGCTCTGTACTGATGATTTCAGAAAGTCTTTTTCTTCAGCTTCTGCTCTGCTCCAAACACTAATTAGGTCCAGTTTTAACCTGTACAATTATGATGACTGTCACATTAGAAAAACAGCCCTCAAAATATAGGTATGTTCCAGGCATCAACTTTTTCTACACTCTCAGGCAAGAATCCCCAATAAAATGCAACAGACTCACAGTCACTGAGGAAATGTACCAGGTCATGTGAAGGAACGAAGGTGTGGCCATGCTTCAATCTGCATGTTTACTTTGAGATGCCTTTGAACACACAGGCAGTAAAGTGGTCTCACCTAGCTCTCTTACTCAAGAATTACACACTCAGCAAAGCTAGCCAGTGTACTGCTATAGGAGAGCACAAGATCTGAATTACTGAAAATTCACAATACATTCATGACATAAAAATAAAAATGGGGCCTCCTTGCTCAACAAAGGGGAAAATTTCAGAGTTCACTGAGTGAAAAGAGTTATGCAGGGAATTCTCTGAAATACTGATGGATGGGAAGAATATGAAATTTTGAGGCATGATGAGCCAGGGACAGTAGGGATATAAGCAGGATGAAATGAAGAGAATTTGTGAATTGGATTTGAGGAAATGGCAGAGATAATAAGGACACAACAGAAATAAGAAACACCATTTTTTACAATGCTCCCTATGCTGTGAAGTCGGGGGACAATTCATTCTGAACATACATAATATACAAAGAACAAAGAGAAAGAACAGCATTCTCATTCTTCCCACATTTTCCATAAAATCATATCTGTTCAGTAGCTACCTATTAATGGAGATATCTTTTGCAGCCATTTGCTTTCTTTGCATTAACTTTTGTTCTGCTTCTAATCTTGAAAATGCAACCTGCATGCAGAATAGTAAGTCAGTGCCCTGAAGTAGCCAGTTATTTTATTACCAATTATCATTACAATACCTGTATTGCATTTTGCTGGAAAAAATCATTTTATGTGGTGTGAGCTATATTTATAGTTTCAAGATAAACACTGGAATCTTAAAAATTTTAAGAAAAATCCATTGGCATTTGTTTCCAGTCATATTCAACCACTTTTAAACTGCTTAGTGTCCATTAATTCAAGGGATAGCTGAACAAAATTACATTATTCATCACTTACCTTCAGATTTATTAAGAAAGATCAGAAATAATGGAAGGAAAAGACTTCTAATGCAAGTTTCTTGAGTATGTGGATTAGGACTTTTCACGTTCACAAAGAACCCCAGGAAAACTTTTGATCTGAAAGACTGTGAACGTTAATGATCAGAAAGAATGTCATAGAGGATTTGTTTATATTTTTAAAACTGTACATAAAAATTATTTATAAAGGAAACAAAACGCAGGCAAGAAATGAAAGACATTCTTTGATAAATTAAAAATGTTTGCTTTCTCCTATAATGTAAGAAAGCTAGATGTAAGAGAAGTATATTGTGTGTATGTTCAAAGGCTTAACAGCATGAGGTATAGAAGTATTCAAGTGGTAACAGCTCAGAAAATAGTATAGGTCTTGAAATTAAATCATCCTCATAAATAAATCATCAAATAAAGATAAAATGACAAATTGGTATTAGTCTAATACAAATTTAGCTGAAGTATTAATATCCTTTCCCCCCCCCCCCCCAGGAGGAAACTTGCTATAAAACTATTCAGATAAAAGTCTTCAAGTGTAAGTATTTACCTTCAATTCTTCATTGCTTTTGGTCACTCATAAAAACTGTAGTGATGTCACGCCATTGTTAAGATGTCATACTACATAGCAAACATTTTGAGGTATCTTTGAAATCTGCCCTACTATTTCTGAAAGTACAGGTTCCATAGTTCTCTTACATATTAGGCACTGCATCGATGTCCTTGGGAAAAGCTCCCCCTACTCCTTGATATGGACCCACACTCTTAGTGGCAGCTGTACATTTCCTCCATGTCTGAAGGACCATGTGTCACCTTACCATTTTGTGTTAAAGTTTTGTTGGCTTAACACACATGAAAGAAAAGATGCCCCCTTTGTACAACCATCTGAACACAAGATTTAACAGGAACTTTCATAGGAAAGACAGATGAATTTAAGAATATAGGGCATAATATTCAGAGCAATATCTTATCCTAAAAAAGTCATAAGAATAAGGAAAATCATAGCTGCCTAGTTCTTATCAGAAGATAATCCTCCAAACAGTGCACTGCTGGAAGAAAATTTTACTTTTTTTTTTTAGCATACTTTATAGCAGCTATTTTTCTTCACATTCATAAAACTCCTGTGACCCTTTTTGCTCCTTCTGTCAGGCTTCTAATTATTTGTACTGAAACTATCCTAATTAAATGCTGAGATTTTTAGGGTGTGGACCTTGTCTAATTGTTTGGTTTATAATACTGTGAGTGTACAGTACTTACATTAATATTAAACTGCATCTTGTCTTGTATTTTATGATGCTTGTTACAAAGAAATGGACATCTTGTTTTCAGCCTCCTTTCTAAATTAAACAATGCTTATATGATCAAGGCTATGTATATTTGCACTATCAAAATTTCAGATGACTCTGCCCAAGTCAACTATATTTATATTCCCCCCAAAATGGGAATGAGCTCAGCAATAATAAATACCTACCATGCCTCATGAAAATAAATGTGTTGAAGATGATACTTCCCTGAGAATAAAACCTGCAGTACATGCCTAGTGCTTTTGAGATATTATAAAACAGATAGGCACACTATTTACTGCTCAAATCTGAGGGAAGAACATCAATCAGCACTCACATTTTTCATTTGCCAGAACCGAATGTGTTTCGCACAGCTGTGGAAAAACAGATTTACCAGTTTTGCTGCTCACAGAGCCACTTAAGAGCTCATAAGCAGATCTAGTGGTCCATGCCAAAGGTCTACTTTGTCCAGTTACCCATAGCAGGCTGTGGCTAACAGCAGGCAGGCACTGAAAAGCAGAGCAGTGGAAATGCACAGCGCTGTTTCCTGGGAGTATTGCTTCCAGTGATGTACAAGCCATGAACATCCTGAGCTTGGCATTATGTCTGTGTGCTTAATAGTTCTGCCCCCCTGCAAGCATTTGTTCAATTGATTTTGGCATTTCTGTAGCCATCTGGCATCCCAAACTTCCCATGGCATTGGAGGCCAACATGTCACCTACATGCTTCACAAAGAAGTGTTGCCTTTTGCTTGCCTTGTACTGCCACCTTTTAGTTTTACATGATATTCCCTGGAGTTTGGGTTTTTTTTAAGAAAACAGCTCTTCCTCGGTTACCAACAGTTTATAACAAGCTATTCTAATGACCTTGGTCATATTCACTCTCAGTTGCTTCTTTCCCAACTGTTTAGAGCAAAGATTTAAAACTAATTAAAAATACATTGGAGCATTTGTGTTCTTTGGATCATTTTCAAAAGAGGTATACAGTACACAGTACACTAGGCATATGATTGGCTACTCTCTCTGCCAAAACCCAACCACTACCTCTTGAGGTAGTTTTAGTATTCTAAAATATATTTTTGTTAAAAAAAAAAAAAAAAAAAAAAAAAAAAAAAAAAAAAAAAGGAGATATTTCTGAATTTTACCTATTGAATTGATATCAATTCAGGTCTTAAATTTGAAAAGAATGGTACAAACATTGCAATAAAACTATTTTTACCCAATTAAAATAGGCTTTTGATATTTACTGTTTGATGAACATTGGGGCATAAGGTGTAAAGGAAAAGTAAATCATATGATAAACAGAACAATGGGGATGGGGAGGCTGAGTACTGTTTCCAGGCTAAGTTCAAGCCACTTCTATAATCAAGTTTCAATCCAAGTAAATGTTTGGCTCACTTCCTTTGTATCTGACAACCTAAAGTATAAGTAATTCAAGGGCTTATTTTTTTTTCATTTTCACTTTGATGAAAGCATTCTTATTTTTCATGCAGTTCTCAGATCAGATCAATTGTTTTATTTTTCTAAAATGCCAAAAACAGTGTAGCTAGGAGGAAACTTATGCGGGAAAAAATGAGCTATTGCTTCTCTACTTATTGCACAATGCTACTTGCTTTGTTCATGTGCTCTATTAGTTCTAGTGGATGCCATGCTGTCTAAAGCTTTATTTCAGAAATGAAAAACTGCAGTAATTAGGGCCAAAAATGTCAGGCTGTACTGCACAACTATTTGCACCGCAAGTCAAGAAGTATGGCATTCTTTTGTAACACACCTCTTAAACCTACGTGTTTTGCAGTTTGTCTTACATCAAAAAATACTTCTTAATGCAATGCAAGAAGGCATTTAAAAGACAGTATCTGAAGTTGTGCGTCACTCAGTTTGGAAATAGATTACAGTATTCCTTCAGAGTAGCAGCAATGGAAAATCTTCTTCAGAGTGCTAAGGCCAAACACATAATACTCTAAAGGCATGGTGCTTGCTATGCCTTTTACTGTCAGATTGATTTTTATGTTCTCACTAAGCTAGCATTTAGCAACATTATACTGCTGGTTGGATAGCAATGACAACCCAATTAGAAAACACAGTCAATGAACAGGTCAGGCAGCCATAGTCCAGATATCATCAGCAAAACTAGTTGTAAAACTTTCTGTTGACCCTTTCCTTATCATAAGTGACCCACCATAAAAACATGTCAAAATTTTGTGAAGAGGAAAAACAGAAAATAAATTATAAGTCATCCAAATAAACAAACATCTTTAGAAAACTTTTAGAGGACTTGTCAGCATAGGAAAGAAAATAAATGGCTAATAGGGTAAGATTTCTGATTTCCCCATAAATACATGCACTTTATTGCTTGTGGGCTTCAGGGAAATGGTTTTGGGTACCCTGTGCTAATCAGACATATATGTTGATAGCTTAGAACCACCAAAAATAGAAAATGGTATGGCTGTATTATTTGGCCAACTTAGCTTTCCATATAAACACAGATCAGTTTGAAATTTGGTTTGATCTCACAGAAATAGATTAGATAGATAGACAGATAGATAGATATGTAATTACAATATACAAATAATTCCATATGGGTTTGAGGTTATAAAGCCTGAAAATAGGCAGTAGAGATTTCTCAGCATATGACTCATACAAAGCAGATTAATGTATGGATCAAGAAGGAAACTACATAAATTGCTGTGCTTTTAAAGAGGGACAGCTAGGGATTTTTTGATCAAACTGAGAGTTCAACTCTGAAATCACAGTATTAGCACTAGGGCTCTGAAATACAGTGTTCATCAGGTATGAAGCACAGGTCTTTAGAGACAAAGTTACCACAAAGTTACCAACCCTTCCAAAAAAACAAGGCCCCACTGGAATTTCAAAATGGCCAAGATCTTTCCTGAAGTCTACTGATCTTTTCTAAACTCGAAATAATTCTCTCTGTAACAGACTAATGGTGTTTTTATTGTCATAAAAATAGCTTTTCAACATTTCTGTTATTATCTTCATTAAAAACACCTTGGCTATGCTATTTTTCAAAGTTCTTCTGTTCAGAAATGCCTCTCCTTACATGTTCTATCATTGATGTTTCTTCTAGAACTATTGAATCTCACCTTTTAGTTTAATCTTGAACCAAACTAGACTTACTGTTCTACATAAGCAAGAACAGCCCTCAACTTTTATTCTGTCATATGTCCTGTTTCAACTCCCATGGCTGACTAGTTATGTCTTTGCTATGCTGCAGCCTTTTTTAAGAGATGGACTTATTTGCCTCTTAACATCCATGGTGATTTAACGGTTTTATATAAATAACAAATTGAAACAATACCAGTTACTGGTCATTAAACCCCTTTCAAAATTGTGTCAGTGAGATTTTTGCATAAGAAGGAATGTCAGGATGCCATTACAAAATCTAGGAGCAGCATTAACTAAAACAGCACAAATGCATTGAAGCATGTGCATGATGCTGCTTTCTGAACAGCACTGTAGGCACATCTGAAATCTGCTTGCTCACACTACAGAAACTACTTATTAGTGTCTGTATATAACACATCATCACCACAGGGAAAGCTAGTTTAAAATCATAAATGTCAAGACATAATTAACTTAAAGGTCAGGTTTAATTACAGTTGTTGAAACTGAAATACGCTAATTACCATTACTATGTCAGAAAATTTCTTAAAATGATTTGAAATGTTTTGTTGGTGCCTGTACTTTTCTGTAATTGACATCTTTTGTCTCATGATGGAGACATTTCAATGAGCATTTTTTTACTAACTTCGAAGCAGAAAGAGAACAAACCAGAAAACTAATGAACAAAGCACCACCACAAATCTCAACAAAACC